ATGTCCAGAGGGGGGATGGGGGGGGGAATTTAAGTACCATAATTTTGTAAGAATGTTTCGTGCCCGCTGGCGTAAGTACAGCATTGTCGAGATTTAATCGGCATATGAATCAGCCCCAGGCTGCCCTCATCGTCAGGTACTTTATCGAGATGGCGGTAACAATTGCGACATTTCTAATACCAGGGGGGGGGAAACAACCATAGGGGCACATACATTAAATGGCCTTACACATATAACCATTATCCTTCACGACCAAGGGCGTTCTCTGAAGCCATAATTATTTAGGAAATAGAAACTGCGATTTGCCTACAGGACGCCGACAAAGCATCGACCAATTAACCTTTACACACTGCAACAAGATTTCTGAATGTAAGGATGATTAATGGTTCTCCGTTTTTTGTTGTTTTTAGGAGGGCGCCTACTTTACATCCACGCCGTCACAGGCTTAAGTGCAAAGTAAACACTCGTGATGATGCTCGGCCAGCAACAGTAAGTAGAATGCGATCGAGGAAGGCCGTGGCAAAAACAACACAGGCGAGGAAAAATTTCCCGCAAGATATGAGAATGCCGAAGACTGACAACCAGAAAACGTTTTGCAATAGCCTGGGTTGCAATCCGACTAGCCAATATTACCGAAGATAAGGAATACGGCCCTATTGATGGATAGGCAGAGATTGACCGGAAGTGGGGTTAGTAAGCATCCTCTTGGCATCAAATACTTATATCCATCGTATAGACGACTTTGCACTCACATACTATCAGCCGAAGAAATAACGAACAAAAACGGAGATATTTGTTCAGTTTCTACTCCTTTACAGTTTCAGAGTGCTGTAGTTCTTACTAAAACAACTACAAACATCAAAAGAACTAGAGCTAATACTTGCAATTTTAGTTAGGGGGTTTTGGCAGAATTGTTTAATTTAGTTGACCTAATGGTGAAAAAAAAACTCGCGACGTCGGCGGGAGTCGAACCCGCATAGCAGGGAAGGCCTTGACGCAGCCAACATCCTGCCACTTGGGCTACGACGCCACGCCGTGCGCCGTGAATTTAATCAAACTTGGATGAATTTTACCCGCCCAACTTTACCGCTCATACTCGCACCTTTCATTGAATTCTAGAATAAATTTCTCACTGGGAGATAATGCAGGTTCAGGAGTTTCTACGACCAATCACCGTTTTTGGAGATCTTGCATACGGTTCTTCTAAACCGGAAGGGTTAAGTGTTGTCATAAATCAGACAAAAAAGAACACCACCGCCCTCTAAAGGCATATCTGTTACTGCACGATTCACAGGAAAATAAATATCTCAACTAAAACATGCGCTGCGAAGGACACACCGATGATCCAGGAGGACAGTTGGCTGATGCCGAATTTCGCGAAAAATCCTTCAGAGGCCTGCTAGTGCAACTACAACTGACTATATCGCCTCGGAGGAAGCGGGTTGTGGGTGCTGTTACAGTTTCGACAAGACATAGATCCACAAGAGTACAG